GACTAGCCACGAACATTTCACAAGTATTTGACAATTGTTTGCTTTTGTATAAACTTTTTTAAAACATCAGTAATACCCGCACTCAACTCTTCCTCTGACTCCAAATGTGGACGACTTGTTTTTTATTGCGGTAAATTACCGACTCCATGGGGATTTAATCGCTCCTTATCAAACTTAATAGATTGACAGTTTTCTCGCCTTTCCAGCTTTTCGACCAATGGTATTTCACTTCACTCAGACGAAGCAGAAATGAAAAAATTACAGAGATCAGGGCAGGCTCACTTTCTTGGGGTCTCTTTACCAGACTCCTTCCCGCCGGATCGCTTTGTTCTTCGCCGCTCCCGGGTGTGACGCAAAGGTGAGCCTGCTCGCAGGCTAAGTAATATCTGGTCGAACGATACTGATACGCATTGTTTGAATTGCTGTCAAAATTGGTCGATATCACAGTAATGCCGGGACAACTGAAGGAATTAACCACAACAAGCAGCAGTTAACCATGCTTAATTCTATACCATTTGAGTTCGTAAATGTTAAAGTACGGATATCATATTTACACAGACACAGGTAATCAAACGGATTTTACCTCGCCTTGCAAATTGAATAGACCTGTGGAAACTTTCGTTTTATCATCACCCAGGCCATTATTCATCAGATTCTAAAATTAGACAGCGAACACCTAGCAGCATAGTCGCGTAGAAGGCATTTAGTATATGTGCCCCAAGATTATGAACAATCTGCCACTTGCCTTGCGCAAGTCGAACTCTATCGAGAACTTCGATAGGGACCATAAAACATACCTCTTTAAACTATTTGTGGACAATTACTCATTGTTTTTGTAGACCTTGTTAATATTTTCTTAGTTTTTAAGCCTTGGTCTTTTTGTATATTGATTTTGTCACTGATTGTATAGTTTTACAAATTTCTTTGTAAAACGCCATGAATGCAGGAATGACACTGGCCGTGTTTTCATGACAACCGTTGTCTCGCTTAACATTCCCGAAGGTGTTTTGTTTACAGACTTCGTTAAGCGACTTAAAAATAATAGGTGTTTTCACGAGTTAAATTAAATTTCATTAACGTAATTTGAGCAGAGCACGCTGGCGAGTAAAGCGGTTTGAATAATATGGCGGGAGATCCAAACGAAGCTTGTATTAAAGTTTTTCCTCTTACAATTAATTACCGTTTTTATGCAATTAGTTTGCATCCGACGAAGGAACCGATTTCAGCAAAGGCCGAGATTGCTTGCACTTAGAGGCAGGAGAGGAGTAACGGAGGCATGTTTTCATCATTCGCAGAGAAAAATATGCCGTAGACGAAAAATCGCGTGGTTGCTTGAAAGGCCACAATTTTGGTTCGAGAACTTGGTTTAAACCACCATGCAGGTAACATTTGGCGCGAACATTTCCGTATCTCTAAGCAAAC